GGCTCAGAGTAAGATTGTTTGGAGGATATCTTGGTTCTATGGTTGGGATTGGCCAGCCCCGCACTGCTTCTTTCCTTGGTTCTACCTTTTTCTGCCTTTTCACGCTTCTTTCCACCCCCTATTTTTTCTAATTGCATTGCTTTTCCTTCTTGTTTTCCTTTTTTCATGTGGTTTTACACGAGTTGAAACTTTGAAATAAAATGCCATAGGAGCATGGGGGTATACCTCTATCTTACTTATATTATATTGCTTATGGCACTTTATTTTTTATTGTCTTTCAATGTTTTTTTTTTTTATTCTCTGTCTTTATGTGCTCCTTTTTTGGCAACAATAAATAAAGAATATGGAAAAAAAAGGAGCAGGGACTTCTTTGGTGTGATTGTCTTATATCAAGCAGCCTATCGAACTGAATGGGTTGCCCTATACACGATCCACAGAAATGTGCGTAGTACACATGTGCGCACACTGTTGCCCCCTGCACAAGTGTTAACAGGGGCTCAAACCTGCACTGTGAAATGACTGATGGATGCTAATTGGCTGTCACAAGCAGAAATCACTTCTTTTTTTTTCTAAATTATACTTTTCATGGGGTTTTAATGGCTAATAAGCTGCAAATGATCAGTAAATCTAAAATTAGGCTCAACATTATGAAAAAAATAAAATCTGCCTAGACTAAAAGTTTTTCTTAGACAGCCTGTACCAAGCATAAGGAAATTAGATCGGAAAGGAACAATAGTTATAATCTAATAGTTATAGTAATTATTTACATCACTGACCTATGCTACAAAGTCTGCCAAAAAGGAGGATTTGCAACCAGCTGATATTAAGCTGCTGTGGGACTGCAATAGTATGTGGACCCCCTCCAAATTATTGGGTTCAGGTATTCCCAGTGAAGGGTGATGTTAGTGTTACAGTATACAGCGGCATTTTAGACCACTGTGTGCTTCCAACTTTGTGGCAACGGTTTGGTGAAAGCCCTTTCCTGTTCTAGCATAACTGAGCCCTTGTGCACGAAGCCAGTTCCAAAAAGACATGGTTGATGAGTTTAGTGTTGCAGAACTCAAGTGGCCTGCACAGAACCTTGACCTCAAACCTACTGAACACCATTGAGATGAATTGGAGCACCAATTGTGAGCCATATCTTCTTGTCCAACATCAGTACCTGACCTCACAACTCCATAGTAAATCCAATAGTGTTAGATTGGGATGTCCAACTAGTTCATATGATGGGTAGGTGTCCATAAACTTCACACAAGTGAACTTTGTGGACACCTTCCCAGCAAATCCCAGACAATCTTGGGATTTGGAGTTTCACGGCAGGTACAGATCTTCTTGCTATCAAACCTTGTTTAAAGACAAGCTCAAGGGCAGGCACTATAAGGAAACCACCCAAAGCTTAATTGATGAACAATGTTTCTTCGGGGAGCCTCTAAAACCCTGAAAACTCTGTATATAATATTTGACTTGAGCTCCTAGAAGTTCGTTCATGCCACAATGCAATGAAAATGCCATAGCCATCAAAAGAGAGTTGCAGACATTGCACTGTATGATGATGGCCAAAGCTCTAATTGGATGTGTAGGGGTTCAGGGGCATACAGGAGAAGCCTCTTAGGAATGTATGTCTGTTTTGAAAGTGATAGGTTCACTTTAAATTCCCAAATGTAAACCTTTCCCGATCCTAGCAGAGAGAGAATTTAAATGATCATTTACAAAAAAAAACAACCATATGGTACTGGTAAATGACCTCATTAGCTACGACTCTACGTCCTACAAGTCAAGCTATTCCATGACTTCATTTGACTTGGACGAAACGGACGTATTATATGTGGAAACGTTCCCGGCAAGGGGCCACAAAAAGCAAACAAATGTAAAAAGCAAAAGACTAGCAGAGGTTATATAATGTTGGGAGGTGTTGATGGCGTGGAACAGACCTCCATAGCTGGGAACATGTAGAATCAACTTTTCCAGAGACAGGTCATTTGCAATTTATATACATGCAGCATACTTTTTTTTACAAACCCATGCTTAAGTTAACTTCAGGCAGGTTTAAAATACTTCAATTAATGTGGATCTGTATTCAATAAATCATCATTATTTATTGAATACAGATCCACAGGATTAGGAAATAGTGTAAGTACCTGAATTTGACTTAATATGGGTTTCTTACAATACCCTATACAACAGATTTCAGAATGGAGGTGGGAGAAGCAGCACAAGTAGGCAATTAGTTGTGCTGAAGTGCTCATGTGCTATCAAGAACATAATGATAGGAGGGAAGAGCAGAGTGACAGAGAGATGAACTGATCAGTCTTCTGCTTCTTCTTATATTGCCCAGTAGCAGGCTGGGGTATGGCTAAGAACGGTAAGTGTTACTTAAATGCATAATGCATAAATATCAAGACTGGATGGCCAAAAAATGCAAATTCTTTGTGATGTAAAACAGTTCCCATTGTGGGGGTATAGCTCGAATGGGGGATCACCTTCCCTGGGAAAACAGTCCAGGCAGCAAAGTTCTTTTTCTCTCTGAACACATCCAACATGTAGCTCTCTCAGAAGGCTGTCTGAGTCCCAGGCCAGAGCAAAACCATGTCTCAGCCTTCCCCTTTTATCTCACCTGGACAAGCACTCATCAAACAATCAACTATCCAAGTGAGACACAAAGCCCGAGCTGGACTATCCGGACCCAAAGTCAAAGCGAAACCCTGGTCAGGGTTCCGCTATTCATGCACATAGGATAGAAAGCGAGGGGAAACATACCGCCCCTCAATGATGTCCCCTCTCCTTATGTCACACCATACACATATTATGTCTGTGTATTTAGCAGATCTCCAGAGGTCTGCTTTATTTAGGTAGAACCCCAGTCAAAACCCTTTTACCTTAGGACAGAGTGGGAATGTTCAGAACCTCTACCAGGTTTTTATTAGAGTCTGTGTCACCAATCGAGAGCATTTCCTCACTTCCTGATTTTTACTGCACTGTTGAATGAATTTCCTTACATTCTTAGAAATTTTAGTTCCAATTTAATAATCCCTTTAAAATGCTATTCACATCAGACTACATGACAATTATAACTGTAAACACAGATTTCTAGTAAGTGATTGTTAAACCACCAACACAAGCGCATTGGGTCATTAAACCACAAACGTCAGATCTTCTCAAGTTTTTGAGAGCTACCTTTGTTGGTATGGATTAGACTTTCCAAGTAGAGGATAGAGTTCAGTTCATCTATCAAGAGACATGTGGATGTAGGTTGAGACCATAGACAGTGTGGCCTGCCCAGGTATAGGGTTCTAGGTATAGCCAGCTCTAGATGAGGGCCTTCAAAGCGAAGTTCTAGGATTCCCAGGAGACCCATTTTGGCTCAGGAGGACCATGGAGTTGAAATGCATGGTTAATATTTTCAAACACATCATACCAGTTCCGAACCGGTTTTGGACATTTCCAAAACATATAAATTGGGTCCCCCTGTTCTAAGGGAAGACGTAAGGCACAGTGGAGAGTCTCTGTAACAAACCGGTACATTTTTAACCAGGTCCAGTAAACTCTGTATATGACTCAGTCAGTCAGTGGTTCTAGATCCTGGGTGGCATACCGGCTTCCTATAAAGTATGTCTGTGGGACTCCATTAGCAAGATGTCTCCTCCAAGGTACCCATCCCACCTCCTCACACAAGTTGCAGTCACTGTCAGGCTTCCCCAATGGGATCTCTACAATTTAGATAGGAGGATTTGGCTACATGAAAGGGACACTTTTGTTATGGCATTGTGGGGAGGGAGGCAGAGACACAAACTATGGCCAGGAATTTCTGCAGTAGGAGCTTCCAGTAGGCATGAGAAGTAGGTGGGTGATTCAGCCAGCGTCCATTCAGAACTCAAATATTCAGTTTCTGGACTGCAACAGTATGTATTACATTGAATTATCTCCAGAAAAATACTCGGGCTGAATCTACTTTGGAATTTGCTTCCACAGAATGCCTCCTACTGCTGCTTTATTCACTGCAGATGGGTTAAGACAGAAAACTTATAGACTGTTTCAAGCGCTGATGATGGCAATGTGGTAAAAATTACCATATCCTCTGCGCTCCCTGTCCCCCCCTCTCTGTTTTTTTCTTTTTTCTTGCTTCCTTTCACAATGTATGGTGTGGAACTTATCAACGTTCAACTTATTCAAAGGGTAAACCTAAACGGACATTACTCTCCCTTTATTTTTTACACTTCCCAATTAATTTTACTCTTTCGCAAGTCAGGTTTGAAATTAGTCTATCTATCTATCTATCTATCTATCTATCTATCTAATTAATATCTTTTTATCCTTCCATCCATCTATATTGGAGCTCTGGAGGGTCACACAGAAATCAGAGATATCTGTACCCACTTCCCCTATGTGTTTTCATACATGGCAGTTGCACTAATGGCACAGGGAGATGATCCGTCTCATTACTTTTATTTTCCACGTTTTTGCTTTCCCAACCCTGCGTTGTTGGGTTTTTCAAGGACACGAGAAATCATAATAAATTTGAGACATCAGGTGCGCCTGGCAATTTCTTACGCAAATAAATAATACGTTTGGAAAGAACAAGCAGCTAAACGAGCAACGGTTCTCATCCATGCTTCTTGGCTACTATATATTTAAGGTGTAGTGTTGGCAATTCCAAAGCACTATATAATGGCTGATTAAAATTGCAAAGCATCAATGCAGGCATATGGATGCAGCTGGTGGGCTATCTAACATTCTGCATAGCAGTTTAAAAAATAAGTATTTATTCTGGAAGTCCAAAATCAAAACTCTCAGAATGCACATTATTGGCCTTCAGCTGGTGTGAGTTGCAATGTACTTACATTTTAATGAGCATGGCAAGAGCACACAGCAAATGTCAAATCGGCGAGTGTGAGTCTTCAGAGGTCAACCGTGCTTCAACAGTGATATATCTTAGTTCAACAATTTGTAAATATATAGCTATGTTTTAGATTGAAGAAAGGATCTTGGCATCCCTGGCTTACCATTAGAGAATGTCTGTTTGCTGAAAGGAGGCCAGTTCCATATCCTGAGCCCATGCCGCCCATGGCTCCATTGTGAGATGGTCCGATTAATCCGTGCATGTCACTGTGGCTTCCTGGCATTGCCGTCGAAGGCCCCACTGCATGGTTCCTTAGTACGTGAATTGCATCATCTAATCTTTCCAATCTGTCCTCAATACGGCTTTGCTGTAACAAAAGAAACAATGGACAGTTACCGAGTGTACATTTATTTTCTGTATGTCATCTAATAATAAAGTAAAACCTAAAGACTGAGGGCCTAACACCAAGGAATCATCTTAGTTGCCCCAAAGAAATCAGATTCAAACTCCAAAATGATGGTTTGAATCTGAAAGTTCATCTGTGATTGCCTGTGGTGGGGCAATACAGACAGTACTTTCTTCAGACACAAAGGGGGATCAGAATATCTACCTTACCAACACTTGGTCCAGATTTCTGAAAGGCCACAAAGGATGGTGATTAAAGGGTTAGGATAGTTAAATAACTCTGGATTACTAGGACCCAGTGCAAAACCATTATGAGGTCCCATGACTCTAATCCCCCTCTTAAAGGCACTCTGTCCATTGATACTGTTTGCCTTCATGGCAATCATATAAAGGTTCCCATACTGATTATGGATGTGTTTCATTCAATGGTATCTGGTAAATGCCTATCGCTTCCTGGGTTAATCATTGTGGAGTTTATGTACCCACACAGTTTTGTAACCATCGAATAGCAGCCCATGCAGCAGCTATGGAACCTGGGATAGGAAGGGGGGCCTCATTAGGGAAGCGGTTAGGAAAATTAAACTGTGAAGTTTTCAGTATAGAATTGCTGAAATCAGACCTCTTTAATCACAGATCCCCCTTCTATGCTTTTAGAAGATGTTGCTTATCTTAGCAGTGTAGAGTTACTGCCCTCTGAGCTTTTACAGACTGATAATAACCTTGTAGGCCTCAAGCAGTCGCAGATCACAAAAAGGTTTAAGGAAGTTTGTATTAGAGTTATGGAATTATTGTGTGAGAGAGCATTAATCATTTTGTCATAATATAAAATATCATTATGGTTATTATTATGGTTCTGCTACCTGTTCATGATATGGACACACTTTGGGCGTTGAATTATAAAACTTCTGTTCAGTCATTTCCACCACTAGATGGAGCTGAGCAGCATAGGACATTTTATAAATCAACCCCATCATGTTAAGATTATTGTCTCATATTGCCACAGATGCTTACTGCTACAGAGAGTATGCTGGGGGCCCTATGAAAATGTGTATCTACACAACAGACAGTTGATCCTGCCACTGACATTTTCCTATGGAGTCGCCCTCCTGCTAGCTGGACTGGCAAAATGCCTTCTGCTCCCTCACTACAAAGTGTAATTCTGCAGTATTCCGGGCCAGTGAAGAACTGACTCCACAAGGAAACATGGTTAAATCAGTGCATCAGAAATCCCCTTCACATCAAGCGATCTCTATAAAGTCTGCTATACTCGCAGATATTTAATATTACTGATTGGTGATCTTTGTAATTTCTCTAGGGCAACCTATCTCAACCAGGGTGCCATTACACCCTTGGGTGCCTGATATTTTCACACAGCATCATGCCTTTCCATGGTGCAGGCAGACTACTAATATGAAGGGGGAGGGCTATGATATGCAAAAGTGCTCTGTTGGAAAAGGGGGGCTCCTGATGTGAAGGGGGGCTTCTGATGTAAAAAGAGCTCTTGATGTGAATGGGGGAGGCGCTTGATGTTAAAAGAGTCTTAATGTGAAGGGGGGGTCTAATGTAAAGGGGGAGGCTTCTGTTTGGAAAATTGCTCTTAATGTAAGGGGGCTTTAATGTGAACAGAGGGCTCCTAATGTGAAGGGGTAGCTGCTGATGTGAAAAGGGGCTTTTGATGTGACAGGGGCTCTTGATGTGAAGAGGTCGCTCTAATGTCAATGGGAGGCTTCTGATGTGGAGAAGGGGCTTCTAATGTAAGGGGGGTAACTCTGTTGTGAAAATGGGGCTCCTGCTGTAATGGGGGGACTATGATGTGAAAAGCAGTATTGTTATGGGAAGGGGTTCCTGATTTGAAGAGCTGACTCTGATGTGGAGGGGTGAAATACCATTGTTTTGTATTATAGCATGGGGTACCCCTTTAAATCTTTACCAGACCCCTATTTTGGATAAGGGTCTGGTATGGACTTTGGAGGGCCACTCGTCATTTTTTACATTTTAGACTAGGATGCCTGGAGATTTTGCATGCTTTTAAAGGGTGAGAAACTCTGCACTACAATAAAGGAAATGGTCCCTGCTCTTCTCTGGGATCTTAAATTAGTTTAAAAAAAACATCTCAGACCCAAAAGAAACCCAAATTGACCGATCTCTCACTGCCCCCTTTTCTGATGATAGATCTACACATCTGTGGATACTTTTATCTGTTTCCTTATACAGTATGTCACAAGGTTAAATTCAAAAACACCTACTAGTGAGTGCAAGGGGCCTTCGTAGCTCGGTGATGAGGAAGCCTGTCCTCCGTTCCTTGACCAAACAGCTGTGCCTGCTAATTAAAAGAAGGAAAAAAAAAAGTTAATTATTTACACAGTTGCATAAGCATCCTCTTAGTTAAAACTTTTTGCAGTTGTTTAGTATATATATGCAAATTTTTCAAGCCGTCCAGACATATGGAGACTTTCCAAAAACATACTTAAGGGGAAAAAAAAGTATTTTTGTAGCAAAACAGAGATACAGTCCATAATGTTCCTCCGGGCTGCTTTCTATCAAAGGATTTCATTGACTCGGCAGGTAATGCCTGTGAGAGAACTCCGTGCAAGAAAACAACTCAATATCCAAAAAAAGAAGCTTGGTACAAGGGATTTAAGCTTTCCAAGTCTCTGTTTCACTACATATATTGCGTCCAGGAGAAAGGAAAAAAAATAAAAAGATGCATTTTGGCTTAGTACGCTATATCTTGGCGAGCCGGAATTTTTGGCAAGTAGGTACAGCAATGTCACTTTATGCGGTGTGCAGGGGATTTCTTTGTGTCTGTTCTCTTTCATTTCTCCTTAAAGAGAACCAGTCATAGGTGAGGCAATCCAAGATTTGTTTTATTATGATAAATGGTCATGCTTTTGAAAGCCTTATGTGTGCCGGCTCATTTTTTTTTCCCAATTATACTTACTAAAGGTTTAATTCACGCCAGGATGAAGATCTTTATCCTGTTATTTTCAGAGTCAATGACATTGGAAAATGACAGTTGCGTTGCTGAAGATAAAGATCCTTATCTTTGTGAATTGAGCCTTTTGTCTAAGAATGAGTCATGAGACAATTGCTCTCCTGTCAACTGCCTGACATCATGCTGATTTAACCTTCTGTCTCCTAGCTCCTGAGTGTGGGAACATGTTTAAATAATAAGCCCTTTAGTTAAAGCCCAACTCTGGGCAAATTATTATTTTGTAAAATGTCCCCTTGAAGGTTTAAAAGAAAAACACATGTGGCAGCAATACCTTCTGAGGTCGTCTCCCCGCAGTAGCTGTTCTCCAGCACAAGACAGCCTCAGTCTTCTGGGTTGAGTAAGGTCCAGCATCACTCAACCCAGATGACTGGGGACAAACTGAAGGTTCAGTGCCTTAGTGACTCCCCACCAGGGTATCAATGGGTATTAATGATAGGACGAGCCGGCCTGAGTTCAGTGGCTGAGATGTTCCCCAAGGTTACCGCCCACCACTGCATGATACTGTGTGTGGGGTAGATGTAGCCTTTGATCGGTGAGAGGATCATGGTCTCAGATGGAAGGGTGCTGGCACAGCAAGATGCATCTACTTGTTTATTAAGGTATGCTTATGATTAGATATTCCATATGACTGTCCCCAGGTATTACAGGATGTTTACATGTATTTGGCGGGAATCTGACGTCATTGTGATGTCAGAAGGGGAGGTTGTGATTTTTTTGATTGGCATATTGGTTTTCACTACTGTGTATTTATGTCACTTCATTTTGTTGGTGTTCATTTTCTGTTTGCCTGAAGAAGAAACCACACGATTCCGAAATCTTTGAGATGTTACTTTGAGATGTTACACTACCACAGTCAATAAAGAGATTGACTGGGCATCGTTTTGGAGTGCGAGTGACTTTTACTTAATTTAATAATAGGACCACCCACTACCGGAGGGTTTTTCACACCGAGTCTGATGAAGAGGACCCTGCGTGGCACCCGAAACATAGCTATCACTGTGACAATATGCATCAATAAAATACTTTTTTTTGACCTATCTCTCTGGTGTGCTGGTGACATCTTGCTTCTCCATTGTTACATGTGTTGGGGCACCCTAATGCACCTTGCCGACGGACGTCCTTTGCAGCATAGTTCACTAAAGTACAATGCCAAAAACAGATGCATGCAGTGCACCTCAATGCAATGAGCTGCAATGCATGGCCACTGGCAAGGGGCACTAGGATGCCATTCAGAATTAACAGCACCACATCTCACTGACACATTTTATATGCATTGTGGTATAAGTGTGTTACAGTTCTACTTTAAGGACAAGATTATCACTATACCCAGCTGTCCTGGAGAATATCCTTATTTCTCTTTGGTAAGAACATATTTAGAACATTAGGCAAAGCAATTGCTCCTCAAGAAAAAGCCATTTATGTTAATGAAGAAAAATAGATAAGTGAGTCTTGGCAATAAGGGAAAAGCTGGTTTGGGTCTGATTAGCTATTGTGGAATTCAGGGTAAAGTTTGTTAGGTATAACTGCAAGAACCTACTACCTCAAAAATAAATGCGTAATGAACCATTGTGCACTCTCAAACCAAAAAAAGGTGGTCTTACTTTCCAGCCTTGTTCTGGGAATTCTCCAGGAAGTCACAAACAGGAACCATTGTTTGAGAGATTCCTGTTTGTTACATCTTACTTTCCCAATAGACCTCTCTCCATGTTAATTAGGTAATGGAGGGCTTCCTTCTGCACAGAAAGTCTGGCAGGGGTTTAAAGGGATAATATAGTCTTTTTTAGTGTAATCCTTTAAAATATAGACTTTGAATCAATGTGAGATGGAATACTTAGTGATGAGGCTGGGCCTGTTGTGAACCTAGTTCACCTGAGTTCACCTAAGTCTGCTCAAAACTGTGAACACCCACCACCCCGGTCCATTCAGTGGCGGCGGGGGGAAATTTCTGCGATGGGGAATGCAACTACTGCAACTACGTATTGGGCATAATTTATACAAATGCGGCATTTAGTGATGTAATACGCATAAACTCATTTTATTGGCAACAATATTCATTTGGTCTGCTCCTAATGAATTTATGTGCAAACACTTGCCTATTTGCCTACATTATGCCCCAATGCAGGTCTGGGATTTTTTTTATTTTTATTTATTTTTATTATGTGCATGGGCACATAGGCTGAAATAGAACTGCATTCAGAGGCATACAAGAAAATGAAGAAATGCCTCTCAAAGTGGTGGATTTTTTTTGCCATGTCCATGAGTCCTTAAGCATGGGAAAATTTGCTCCAGCAGGGAAAGAAAATTCCTTCTTGAACCCCGCCAGGTTTATTACTGATAAATATTAATCAGGTATATGCTGTGCATTTAGAAACAGATTCAGCCTTTTTTCCTATTGCTTCTCCCCTATTATTAGGCTTTAGGTGCCTTGACCACTACGCCACAGACCGTCAATGGAAGCTTTCCACTGGCCCTACATCCAACCACCCTCTATACCTGGGATAGGCAAACTACAGCCCTCCAGCTGTCGTGGAACTGTGGAGTCTTGCAATGACTAATAGGTTTTGTAATTTCAACCCAGATGGAGGGCCGAAGTTTGCCAAAGCCTGCTTTATACTATATGACCAGGTAGATGACAAAGGTGCAAAATATTGTTACAGGGTTGTGTCTTGTTGGATGCAGAACAGGTGGCAATTAACTGTAGTCAAGAAAAACACAATTGCAAATGCGTCTGTCTTAAGTGTGAAATCTCCCGTATTCCTGTATTGTATTGATGAGGTAGCAGGTTATGGGAGCCTGATCAGCCATCTGTGCCACTTTACAATAACATCTTCTCCGTTCGTAAAGACAGACCTAACGCCTATGTGAAGTGTTTCAATAATACATATGCTCCCAGTTACTGTCTGTGCCCAGTGCTCAGCACAGCATATGTGCCTATAAGCATGTACAATGCCTTCATGTCAAAATCAGTCACACATCTAGATTGTATATCTATACATCATATGCAGCAAACATGTTTCTGCTATTCCTCTGTCATAATCATACGGCTGG